AGCAACAAATAATTTTATACATTACAGCAAAAAGTGGCTTACATATAAATTAACAACAATATGTAACACAACTCGTTTCCAATGGCAACAAACAAAATAATGCGTTATCAATTAGCAACAATAATTTAGAAGACTTGTTTCTAATGGAAACAATTCAAAAATTCATTGTATTTGTTTGTTTCTAAATCAATACAAATAAAATATTTGTGGTCATAGTTTGTTACTATTTGGCAACAAGAGAAAAATATGATGCCGTCTACTAACAACTAGTAAGACAATTTATTTTAAAAAGTAACAAATCAAAAATATGTAGCGATTGTTTATTAAAAAATTAAGCATAAAATGTCGCTTTTAATTAGGCAATGAAAAAATTTAGATTCGTTGCTATTTAGCAACATTTTAAAAATCCGCTGTGACACCTTCCGACCTTGACCTAGGGACGAAGTGGCTTAGTTGAAGATAGTGAGACTAAGGGACGGGAAAGCCTTTACCTTCTCTGCCTGTTACCAAACTTAATTGCTAAAAAACTTTTATTTTTGTAGTGACCCTACAAGTACCCCTGACCAAACTAGTAACACCCTACAATAATTTTTGACGTAGAATATTCGATCTAAGATTCCACGAAGAAAACGAGCTCACATTTCTTTGGTTCTCATCGATTTCACTACTTCAATTGTTGTTGATGATCTTAAGGGTAATTAATCACAATTTTTCACAGCAATTTGACACCCAATTTCTACAATTTTGGGCTTTAATTGCAACAATTTGGCAAAGAGGGGTGAGAAAATGGGTGGAGTAGAGATATGGTTGTTGGTGATGTGTGGTTTGGGTTGTAGATGAACCTAAGAAAAGAGGAGAGAGAAAATGGGTGGAGTAGAGATATGGTTGTTGGTGATGTGTGGTTTGGCTTGGAGAAGAAGATAAGAAAAGAGGAGAGAGAAGAGTTGTGGTATTTTTTAAAAAAAAAAAAAAATTGTGGCTAGCCACATACAAAAATTTGTGTAGATTATTAATTTTAGATATATTGGACTCACTGTAAGTCCAGTTTCACGCTAAAGTTACTCTATGAAAATTGTGTACGTTTAGGTCATGTTCTCATTGACTGAACTCAGCTGAACTGAACTGAACTGAACTGAACTTAGCTGAACTGAACTGAACTGAACTGAACTCAGCTGAACTGAACTGAACTGAACTGAAATGAATATTTTATAAGAGAAGAAAATTAGGAGCTGAACTGAACTGAACTGAACTTAACTGAACTGAACTGAATTGAGCTGAACTGAACTGAACTGAACTCAGCTGAACTGAACTGAACTGAACTGGACTGAATTTCAACGTAAGAGAACAGACCCTTATTGTAAAAAACACAAACCTATACTCGTATAGCATATGTTTAATGTAATAATATGAACCATATTAGCAATCATAACATAAAAACTATTAACATAATTAGAAAATTTTGTGGTAATTAATTACTATTTCGGTGGACATTAATAAAGAAACAGAGGGAGTAGTACAATAACTGAAACGCTATATACTTGGAATATAATTACCTGAGACATTACTGAAGAAATAGTGTACGGAATAGGTTGAGTTGTGTCGCCTACTCCGAGTCTAATCAATTTTGCATGGGGATACTTCTTTATATGCTCCATCTCTCGCATGCATATCTATTTTATGTATCAACAACCAGATAAGGGATGTATTGTCAATAAGCCAATGCTTTCATGGTCAAAACTCGATTATTTGCTAAACCAAACATGAGGAAGATAAATGAGTTTAATTATTTTTTAAAGTTTTAGAGCATATTATCCCAGTATCTTAAAATTTAGATTATTTGCCGACATGAAACGACTTAGTATCTGTTATACTAACTTTTTGGACTTAAAAAAGGTTTGTACTGTAGCATTAAAGTAGAAAAGTCTTGGTAAAGGTTTAAATGGAGTCTTGATCGAGTTAAGACTCAATTTGTGATTGAAATATAATTATTGGCATATAAAAAAAAAAAAAAAAACAATTTAAAATAAAATAATTAAAAAAATTTAAATTAATTTGGGGGGTGAAGTGATAATTTTGAGTTTGAAGAAGGCTTGAAATTATTACTTCATTACTTGTATATGTTATAGGAAAGCTGACGTAGTATATATAAGAAGAAAGTCTTTAGATAAAACTGCGCTAATCTTGCTCCTAGCTTGCTCAAACATTAAGTGTTCAATTTAAACTTTACTATTTGATCCCTAACCACATAGATCTAAGGTTGGCATAAAAAAAATAAAAAAAAAATAGAAAAGAAATTATGTATACATGTAATTGTTCATTAGAACACCCAAAGTACAAAGTATTTTTCTATAAGAGTGATAATAAAGCAGTACGTACCTCTGGAAACAAATAATTGTCACGTAAATTCTCCATATTGGTATTGCGGGGTACTTTAGTCCACAAGTTTGTGATTGTTGCTGCATTTGAATGAATTCGTACGAACATATTATTATTATCTATAAATTGATTAAGTAATAAATAAAATTATCAATTCTAACAAAAATGACAAGATAGATAAATTACCGTGACTTTTCTTGTAGCCACCCTTGCCATGCTTGGCGCTTTTTGATTTTAATAGAAAGCTGCACATTCGAACATGGGATTAATAGAAGATCATATGCCATGAAATTAATTTTTTACAACTTAAGAAAAATGTTAATTATCCGACTAGAGCAGAAAAAAAAAAGAAAATCTCTCAAATTGTCGTGCCTTGACATATTTGTTGTGTCACGACACGTACAAATAAGCCTTGTAAAATTTATTGTAAGAATATCATTACTCCACGACCTCAAATCGGAGGATGTACACAATACAATAGAAGTTATTTTTACTTAATTTCTTATTAAGAAAATAAGTAGTTAGATATCTTAATTACATTATATGTACCAAACAAATATGCAATCAGTTGTACAATCAAAGATAGTCACATAAAAGTTAAAACTAAAACTCGTTGGTATCTCTTTTTTAAGTGTTCTTCTAATATAATGTAAAATTAACATGACACTTGGGCCTTGGCTCACTAAGACCATATTATTAGCCAAGCCCTAGTATTGATATGAGTAATTAATTTATCATGTCTTTTGTGAAATTCTTGCTCTTGATGAAGATAAGCTCTCTAAATTCTCACTTTTTTTTTTTTTTTTTCAATTAGAAACAACTAATCCATCCATAAACACGTAGTGTTAAAGGTCAGCCAAACAAGTATTTATTAATTTAACAATTTTGAGCTACAACACCTTGATCTAATATATACACTATTTTTCATCAGCACAACTACATGTTTTTCTTAGATTCTACAATCTCTGCTAAAATCAATCATATTACACAAATTAAATCTAAGTAGTATATATTATTGTGAATGACAAAAACATGACATAAATGAACTACCTTGGGTTGGTGACTCTACAATGCATCAACTCTTGATAAGGCATGCAAGATTTGGTTTGCGATGAGAGGGAGATTTGATAAAACATGATTCAAAAATCAAAAGATTTGTTTTATAAAATGCTTAGTATAAGGTACTCCGTACTATTGTGAAGGGTCGGTTATACAAATATACAATAATGCTATGCTTTGAAGAATGAAGTTTCTAAACATATTTATACTATTCAATTCAAAGTATATACCTAATATGCATAAAATTAAACAAAAAAAATTCCATCTTTCTTACTAGCGTAGTAGCGTGCCAAAGTTTCAGTCCACTTTCCTTGTAAGTTTACATGCATTTCCATGTGAAATTTCATTAATGTTATTATACAGTTTTTTTTATAGCGCAACACTTTGACTGGACATATTTGATTTGTCAATACATACGCAACCTTAATTATTAATATTTGTAACTGTACTATATTATAATTTAAACATATATAAGTATTCGGTTTTTAAATCTTAAAAATTTAAGTCAAATCATTATAAAATAAATAAATTATGCAAAAAATTAAAGTGTTACACTTAATATATATATATATATATATATATATATATATATATATATATATATATATATATATATATATATATATAGAGTATGGATCATGTGAAAACAAATGTTAGGGTGAAAACTGAAAACGATTCATCCTAGCCGTAGATTATAATCTAGCTGATGACATCTAACGTTTATATACTAATTTTCTCTCTCCTCCCACGAAAACAATTTCTCTCTCCTCCGTTATTTTCTTCCTCCTCTCCCTCCTCTCTCCTACTTTCTCTCTCCTAATTTCTCGACATTTTTTTCCCCAATTTTCACGCTACTTTTTTCAAATTCAGCTTCAATTACTTTGATTTCAGCAATTTTTCAGCTCTACGATCTATTATCAGGTGAGTTCTTTGTGTTAATTTCGCTATTTTTTGCATGATTTGAGGTTTTAAGGTTTCTGAAATTTTCATCAATTTTGTTCAATTTTGTTTGATTTTGCGATTTTCTGTTCGATTTTGTTCAATTTAGTTTGATTTCCTGTTTTACTAATCAATTAACTTTAGTTTCTTCCTTAATTTCATTGATTTGTTCGGTTCAGTTGAGTTTTTCCACCATTGTTAACTAATTTGAAGTTCAACTTGTTGATTTGATTGATTTTTGTAGTGGAAGAAGAAGCGTATGAGGAGATTGAAGAGGAAGCCCCAATAGATGAGACGGAGATCTAAGTAGAAGAAGATCTACAGCTTTCACGATTTTTCACTCGCATTGAGAATTAGCTTTCTGATATTTGTGACGGTATTTTGAAGCTTCTGGACACTAAGCTTATTCCTCCTGCTAGTAGTGGTGATTCTAAGGTCTTTTATTTGAAGATGATGGGAGATTATCATAGGTATTTGCGGCTGAGTTTAAGACTGGTGCTGAGAGGAAAGAAGCCGCTGAGAGTATTCTCACAGCCTACAAGGCTGCTCAGGTTTAATTAATTTTTTCCTTTTTTTTGTTTGGTAGATCTGTTAATTAGGGTTTGGATTTGGTTTTTGTTTGTGATTTTTGCGTTGATTTGCTATGATATTTGCATTTTGCTGGAATCATTGAGGAATATTCAAGAATTTGATAAGCTCTTTATGAGTTTCTACTTCAAGAACAACTCATCTTCTGTGAGTGGCTCTTGTTTTACCATCTTTATAGGCTCCTGGTGCTTCTGTTGTTGATTACAGGAGTTATTATCGCATTCCTCTTGGACATCTGCAGTGCAAAATGTGAAGGATTAGTATCTATTTCTTTTTCGTTAAAACATATAAATTAGTTTTGAAAATCTGTTTTTCTTGATCAGATATTAGGAAGATAATATTTGATGAACTATAGGATGTTTGATAAGCTTGTTTGTTTCTTTCTTTAACCAAGAGCATTGATGGTTGTTCTTGCAATTGTGGTTTAAATGGTGTTTGAACATGGTAATATATATGTGTAAGAATCAAATGGAAAAAAAGAATATGGACAGGACATGAATAGATTTGTTTGGATCAGAAACTCGTAGAGGATACATATCCTCTAGTCTCTGATGGTATATTCTTTTATTGGGGAATTGGAGTCTTTTTTTAAGAATTGATCTTGAAAATTTTAGGCATGTAATTGCTTACCTTTTTCTGTTATTTGATGCATGATTTGTACTTCACCAGGTATCAATTTTTCCCTTTGATCTTCAATAACTGTTGATACTTTATTATCATCCTGAAACATGCAGGGTAAAGGACATGTTAGTTAAATGGTAGAAGTGTGTCTTTAGAAATTTATTTCTAGAACTCGAGTATGCTAGTTTGCGTTATTGCGAGCTCTATCATTCCTGATCTTACCTTGTCAGCTGGAGTTAGTGTAGTAACCTTCTTCAGCCTTTGTGAAGATTTATCTCTGATTGTATGATTTTTGGTGCCTGCCTGTTCAATATCTACATTTTGTCGGGATTCCTCATATACAGGTGGCTTGCTCGTATCATGATTTCCTGGTATGCTTTCATTTGCCTCTGCTTCTGTCCTTAAAACGTTGATCTTGTCAAGCTTGTTTTGCTTCAGTCTGTATGAAGTCTGTATGATGTTGGTCTGTGATGTTGGTATGCTTTTATTGGCTGTTTTGGCATGTTGAAATCCTATTAGCTCAATTGGTCGAGCACCGTGTAATCACGGGATGTAGGTTCGAATCCTACATGGACTTTTTTAATACTTATTTTTATATTTATTGACCTCTGGGTAAATGGTGTCAAATTGATATAATTACCCGAAGTTCATATATAGTTACCTTATTTTCGATATAATGACCTTAGAATTATGGAAATGCTTTAAATTTTGTTTCAGTCACCTTATTTTTATATATAGTGATCTTTATTTTTGTATATAGTGACCTTTATGTAAATGGTGTCAAAAACTCAGTCGATATAGTTACTTTATTTTTGTATATAGTGACCTTTATGTAAATGCTGTAAAAATTGTTATAGTTATCCTATTTTTGTATATAGTGACCTCTATGTAAATATGGTCAAAATTAAAATAGTTACCCTATTTTTGTATATAGTGACCTTAATGTAAATATTGTAAAAATTGATATAGCTACCCTATTTTTGTATATAGTTACGTTATTTTTATATATAGTGACTCTATGTAATTATCGTCAATTTAGATGAAGTTACCTTATTTTAAGCATGTAGTGACCTTTTAAACGGTTGAATTGATTATATGTAAGGTTGGAATGATCTTAGGGCTTTAGAACCGTCTGATCTTTTGTGCTAATAATGAATGGCTAAGATTGCTTGTTTTTAGTTTTCACCATAAACTCTATTTTTAGCGGAACTTCCCCGTATATATATATATATATATATATTTTATTAGTCTCACTCTCATGTTGCTAAATTTGCTTTGGTCCCACTAATTGATTCTTTGTGCATCCCCTTCCAATCTTCCAGGCGTCTAGTCTCAATCTACTATCGTTATCCAGTATACCTATCCCACACACATTGCAAACCCTCCATAACTCCACAAGTACATCCACGTCTATTTTTTATTTTTTCACAAAATAATTTTTTTAATTTGAAAGGGAAAAAAAAAATCAAACTCTTACTTGTTACAATTCGACAGACACTTAGAAATGTTAAAATATTAAGTTTAATCTAATATATATATAAAGGGGAGTTTTTTCCCGAGATTTTAGAGCGCCATGTAGGATTTTTATTAATAAAAAATTATTAGAGCGCCACATATGATTAATATTTTAAAAACGCTACAATAGGATTATGCCACCTAAAATTAGTTAACGTGCCACGTAAGATTATAAATTATAGTTATATCCAATAAATAATTCAAGTGCCACATAAGCATAATTGACCAATGAGATTTTAATGGTTACATTAATTAAATACGAAATATAATCTTTTGAGATTAGGAATTTTATCTAATATTTTAAAACAAATACGGAGAAAATGATATATTACGTACAACTAATAAAATAACAAATGTAATCACATAAATATAAAAAATACTTTTTAGAAAAAAATAGATCGACCCGTGCATCGCATGGGCTTCATCTAGTTTATATAATTTCTTACTTTGTCCGTTGTTTTTAGACTACTCAATTACTATAGCAACAAAAGTCAAAAACTCAAAAGGGAACCATTTATGTAAATACTTTTGCTTTTTTAAAAAAGAGAGAGATCAATAATAAGAGAATAAACAACAATAATTTATGTCACAAAAAATGGGACAGATGATGTTAAAATATGAATAAGAGGTTGACATAATTGGAAGGAACATTTGTTAAAAAAAAAAAAAAACTTTTAGATGCATCATTTTAACCCCCCTCCCCCCAACCAAAAAAAAAAAATTGTAAAGTTTTTTTATTTTTTGCTGAAGACAACCAAGTTCCTATAATTTACTTAATTAACATCAGATTTATTCTAATTACCTTCAAACACCCACTTGACTATTTAATAATTAAATTAATTTTAAAAAATAAAAAACAAAAACCATCACCCCACACAACCACCCAGCCACCCCCACCCTTTCCCCTTCCCTTGCAGCAACCCTCCTCTCCCATGCCACCTAGAACTCCTCATCCCCGGCGACCCACCTTCACTGTTGGCCGACCCCCTTTTTCCCTTGCCCCTAGCCCGCTGCAATCCTCCACGTCCCTTCAAACTTATAATCCTCCACGTCCCTCAAACACTCTCAAACACATTACCAAAATCTGCTAAGCTAGGATCTTCTTGGAAGCTTCAAATCAAGTTTTCCCACACAATCAATGTATTTTTACTTTGATTTTATCTTATAGTTTGCAAATTTGCGATTATTTTGTTCGAAAACCCTAAAAATAAAAATCAATGTGGGATTTTTAAATTTTGTGCATCTTGCTTGCAATTGATATTTGCTTTGGCTTTGATTATGTATGTATGTGATGCTAGGGTAATTTGTATTAGAAGCAAATTACAATTGATTTGGGCTTGATTTGAGCGTGTTTGAGCTAATTAATTAAAGCCAAAAATTGAAAATTGCTTACTTAAAGTGGTCGCTGGCAGGGATAAGGAGGAAAAGGAGGGTCGGTCGACAGTGGAAGTAGGTTGTTGAGGTGGTGGGATTTGGGCAGCAGGTTCGATAGGGGAGATGGTAGTTTTTTTAATTAAATAGATTTAATTATTAAATAAATAGGTGAGTTAGAGAGTAATTGGAAGAAAGGAAAGGAAAGGAAATTATACACTAATTAAGTAAATTAGATAGCAATTCAATTAGGTAAACAGGTTTCTCCTTATTACAAAAAAAAAAAAAAAAAAATGAAGTGGTGGTTTTTTTAACCAAAAAATTTTTAAAAAAGGTTTTTTTTTATTATTATTATTTTATAAAATGGTGGTTTTAAAATATTTTTGATTTTGACAAATTTTCCTAATTGGAATTAAATAAAAGTGAGTAAAAACTTATTAAAAAAAAGGGAATAAATTTAAAAAGAAAAATAAAAAAAAAGTGTTGCACGTCTTGTGTGTGGCTGACCATACCGCGTGGTCAGTTGGCCAATTATAACATAAGAAAGTAACCTCTATAATATTGACCAGTAACCCTGTAATACTAACTGGGTATCTCATATAACACTAGAGTAATCCCTTTACCACAGACAGAATAACCCCTTTAACACTGACCAAGTAACCCCTATTACATTTACTAAGTAATCCCTATGATGACTGATTGACTGGTCATACCGTGTGACAAGCCACATATAAGAATTTGTGATTAAAGTGAGTAGAATTTAGTGAAACATATAGAGTATTATTTGCTTATTTCACTACTCCCTCTGTTTTTAAATACTTGCTCCATTTCTCCATATGCGGAGTTTTAGGAGAATTTGGAGAAAGTAATAAAATACGGAGGTAGTGGGGTTGTTGGAAGAATAAAAAATTGTAAAAAGCAAAAGTAGTGGAAAAATCGGAGGTGAGAGAATATGAAATGAATAAAATATGATATTTGTTGGGTCCACTAGGTGGTAGAAATGAATTAAATATTGTAAAAACTTTCCAAATAAGGAAATTGAGCAAGTATTTAAAAACGTCCGAAAAAGGAAATTGGAGCAAGTATTTAAAAATGGAGGGAGTAATAGATATAAACGGATCGGATGGAGTATTATCATATCAAAACAATTTTATTTTTTAATATTTTTTTGTCCTTTTTTGGGGCAAAAACAATTTTTTTTTTAGTTACTTTTATTAATCATTGAATTTTTATTTTTGTAAAACTTTTACCTTTAGAAGTGCATATTAATATGAATCTTATAACATCTCATTTAATAATTTTTGATATTTACGGATTAATGTAAAAATAAATTTAAAATTCGGTCAAAATATTAAAATTAATGTAAATGACTATTTACATCATGCTTCCAAGTTCAATTCACAAGACTAAATTAATGTACATGTATTATTCACCTTTCACACTCAATTATTTCATATAGAAAACATTATTTATCTTAAATATCCATTAATTATAGATAGTAACATATAAAATCTTTATCATGAGAATATGAGATTCATGACTACTATTTGTAGAAAGTTATTTTCACGTAAAAAGGAAAGTTTCAAACATATGTAGTAAAGACAGATAATGTAGTAAGGAATTTCATTTCTTGTTAATTTTCTAAAATGGACTACATACACCTAACCGCACGTAGATACTATCTTATTCAAGTAATCAATATCTTAATGGATACTATTGTGTTTTGCAATATAATTATATATTACCTTCGCTTCATAATAACTAACACGATAGCATACTTCTTATAATGCATTATTTTGAGCTTAATTTGAAATAATTTTTCCTTTCAATCTTTTATATTCTTTCCGTTTTTCATTTAAAAAAGTTCAAAAAGTTCTTCCCATTTAAAACATTTTCATATATTTATTCAAAAAAAATTAATCTTTTCATATATGGTAGCAAGGTAAATATTTTCATTCAAATTTTCTTTATATATATGGTCAATGTGCCAAACTTTATTACTCGTACAATTTTTTTCTCATTGATTGAATTTTTTCATGTATGATTTTAATTTTTAAATATTATTCTCTCTTCCTGAATAGCACATTAATTACCTTTTTTCTTTTTTTCATTTTCGTTGTACGTGTTTTGTGACCAAAGTTAGAATATGTTATGTAAAGTATAAATTTAATTACTTTAATGGTTTCTACGATCTCATTGATTTTCTTTTCTTAATTTTCCTTCTCAATTTCATATGATGGAAAGGAAAAAAAAAAGAATTGAATGGAGTAAATGTTAGTAAAAATTACAAAAAAAGTCATACATTTAATATACATTTATCAACATTTTAAATAATAATTTGCTTTTCTTATACTAAATTAATGCAAATGGTATAGTAAAAAATAACACATGGATAGTTGAAAAAAGTCATCATATGTCAATTATTATAGAGCATAAGAAGTTTTTTTTTATTTTTTATTTTTTTTTTATTTTTTTGGGTAAAAAGTATATTATTAATTTTTAAAATTGAGGCTACACAAAATATTTATAAATGACTGGTCACACTGTGTGGTCGGGGTTATTTATTCGGGGATTATTTGAATTATTTATTCTGGGGCTACTTATT